CCATTCCCCCCATAGGAGAAACCTTAGAAGAAAACAATTAAGCATAGTTAACTTTACTCTCGAATCGATCAAGAGGTTCTCGTTGAGTACAACGGATGTAGAGGGTGTTAATACCTTCCCTCTGCGTAACCGACTCCCGAACCTAGAATATTGGTTGCGACGACCATGTTCTTATCTCTTTAAAGGTTTTATCGATATTTTCCTATTCCATCCTTGGAATGAATAAAGTTCGGTGGCGACTCTGTTTTGAACAGTATTTTCCGCGGCCATCGCGAGGATCGTATTTTTCGAGGTACGACACTACCTTCACAAAACCTTCACCAAATCCAACCCTAAACAACATACCTTAACCAAAAACCCCAACCACACACCTTGAAAAATCTCTCAAGTTTCATCAACTTCAACAATAGCACCTAAGAAGTCTGACAAAGGAAAGCAACCATAGACGACAAGAGTAAAGAGAAGAACATGAATTTGTTTCAATGAGAATCCTCCGTGGCTTCTTTTTCACAAAGGAGGAACACACAAAAAATGTATGAAACTCATTCTCAGAGGCGTATCATCCCAACCTGGAGGTGATGAGATTCTTGAAGCTCTAGATCTTAAGACTGAGGTAGATAGATTGTTGAATAATTTGGGGCTGCATTATCTTGTGCATTGTGATTTTCGTGTTTATGTCTAGCTAACTCTAGAGTTCTTATGTACTCCAGCGCTTAATATGTTTAAGGCATCGAACAAATCTTCAGTCGAAGGGCTTCAACTAAAAATAAAAGGTACCTTGAAGTTTTGGATGCATAAGTCCGATTTTGAGATCCTTGTAGAAGCTTTAGGGGATATCCTGCACCTACACACTTTAGGGGATGACAATGTCCCTAGAAAATTCAGACCTCAACAGTTTTCAGGCCAGATAACAGGGGAATGCCCATATATTGCAAAGAGTGTCAATGCCTCTCAAAACCAGAAAAGGAAAGACAAGGGACTGAGCAAGCCAGGCAAGGTGTAGTAATAGTTAACATTCAAAGGTCACTATAGGACCTTATGTTGTGCTTCCCACATCTTCAGTGATATGTTATGTGAGTCTCTCAACTTTGTAAGTATATTTCAGATATGTTGTATGTGACTTATTCAATGATGTGAAAATGAGAGATAACTTAACTTATGAAACGTCACTCTTGCAAACTAAAGATCGAAAGGTGAAACACTTGAGAGGAAAGTAAATTCCTTTGGTTAAGGTCATATGAGGCAGAACTGTTGATGATAACGTAACTTAGTAGCTAGAAAGTCAAATGTATGAGTCTTATCCAAACTTGTTTGTTTCAGATAAATTTTTTTAGACGAAAATTCAATAAGTGGGGAGAGTTGTAACACCTCAAAATAACTAAAATATTATTCGCTTTTTATTTGGATTTTTAATTTAATTTCATGATTTTATTATTGAAGAATTATTATTATTATTATTATTATTATTATTATTATTATTATTATTATTATTATTATTATTATTATTATTATTATAAATTAGTTGGAATGAATTAATTAGAATTAGGTGGAATAAATGGGAAAAAGGGAAGTTGGAAAGGGAGAGTAATTGGGAATAAAGGAGAGTAAAAACGAAAGTAGTTAAAAATCATACTTTTTGACTAAAGGGAGATTAAGAACAAAGACAAAGAGTGGAGTAGAAATAAAAGGAAAACAAGAGAGAGAGAGAGAGAGAGAGAGAGAGAGAGAGAGAGAGAGAGAGAGAGAGAGAGAGAGAGAGAGAGAGAGAGAGAGAGAGAGAGAGAGAGAGAGAGAGAGAGAGAGAGAGAGAGAGAAAGAGCATTTTTAAGGAGAAAAACCCTAACTTCTCCAAGAGACTTTTCTTCTGCAAAATTCTAAAAAAAAGAACCTCAAGTCATCAAGAAAATCATAGTAGAGAGTGTGCAAGGGAAGGATTCCATCATTGTTAGGAGTTTCGAGAAAAAATTATGCACTAACAAGGTAAGGGGGAGATTGGTCTATAACTTTGACATTTTAAATTTTAGGGTAGTAGGGTTTCCCTTGAACCACAAATTATTTTATTTTCCATGTGAATTTCCCATACGAGATGATGGTTCATAGACCCTAAGTTATGAATCTCTCTCTTATCATCAATGGTTTGGTTTAAGTGCAGAATTTGATGTGTTTTAATATGAATCTTGTGTTTAAATTTCAATATCATGTGTTGGTTTCAAGAAGATGTGTTATGATGTATTAATCCTATTAAATTGATGAAAAGTTGATTATGGAATGTGTTTTATACTATGATTTCGTAATGGTATTGAAACTAGAGCTTGGATGAGGTTTAAAAGTGATTACAATTGCGAAAAAGTGAAATTTTGTATAGTGAAATCGATTGCACTAAATGTGCAATCGATTACCACCTTTTTTAGCAATCATGCTATGAATGATTGTAAGAATAATCTTAGGACATGAGTCCAACATTTGATAAATTCTTATGAAACCCTAATGTAACGATTATGTTGAAGGTTTAATAAGAACCAATGTGAAGCCCTAATGTGGAGATTATGTTGAATGTTTGATAAGAACCAATGTGAAATATAATGTGCAAATTATGTGGAAGGCTTGATAAGAACCAATGTGGAGCCATAATGTAGCAATTAGTGTAAATGTGTGATAAACATTATGGAAACCATAATATGGTAATCGAGGTTAACGTGTTTCAAATATGGTTTGGAAGTTCAGATGGAAATTGTGTTTGTCTGATTATCATGCATCATATTATATTGGAGTAGGTATCTCGTCTAAAAAAAGTGTAGTATGACATAGCTCGGATGTACTCCTAGGCATTGCATATTTACAAACATCTATGAGAGTGTTGTAGTACGGACGTAACTCTTATGTACTCCTAGAAGTAAAGTTTAGCGAAGGGTGTTGTAGGGCGTATGTAGTTCACATGTCCTCCTGGACATTGCAGAGTCTACAGACATCTATGAGAGTGTTGTAGTTCGGGACATAACTCATGTGTCCTTCTAAACTATTTGAACTCGGGAAAATAAGTTTTAAGTTCAATTATGGTATCACATGCATTAAATTAGATGACAAATTCATTGCATAAGCATTCATGTGTATGTTGCGTAATGATGTATGATTCCATGTAATATCGTAAAATCATTTAAATATTATATGTTTGTGATTATACTACCCTTTTCTATTATTATATAATCTATTTTGTAGAATGTATTCTCACCCACCCTCCGTTTCTATGTTTTTTTTAATGTGACCCTATATGCACATTATTCTCAGGTTGAAACTGAGGAGTAGTTGTGTTGCGGTACTTTATAAGAGATGGTGTAGATGATAACTTTTCAATTATTTCCTTCATGTTTATGTATGTTGAACTGTTAGGTCAGTTAATTTCTTTATTTGTAATAAGGCTCTGATATTATGATATCGAGGTCGAGATTTATATTATTTGAGTAATTATGTTTGATGTTATGTTTTAATCAAGTACTTATTTATGCGAAGGTTTATGTTACCTATGTTAATGTGATGCCTTTTTTTATTACATGAAATATTTATTCCATAATATATGTTGATAAAAATAAGAAAAAAAATTATTCGGGTTTAGGGTGTCACGGCCTGCATAACGAATCATTTTAGTGGTGGAACATGGATTTGATGTGCATATTCCCGAGAACATATATTGTCACTTAACTTATCACTAGTTTCCACACTTTTCCTAAAAAATTCTTATAACACTCGAAATTTTCTTACGGTACATTCTTGAGGTTGGTCTTTACAACTTTGCAACAACAATTCTAACTTTGTATCCGTTAGAAAGGAATTGAAAGAGACTTGTTCCTAACCCACCAAACATGCATGTCAATAAGACAGACCCAAGACGAAAGTTAAATCTAAAATGCCACATATTCAGATCGAGGTGTATCCTCGTTAAGGAGCATCACATATAACCCAAACATTACCTCATCACAATCATTAGAGTTCATTCACCGATCTCTCGTACCAAGCTCCCTCCCTATTCAATGTGAATTCGGTCAAAAACATACATGATTTAAGTCCATATATAAAATCAATTGATTGTGTGTTTGGATTAACGGTGAACATAATTGAATTTGATAGAAATGATTTTAATAGAATTGAATTTAGTAGAATTAATTTATGTTTGGATATAATAATATAGAAGTGATTCGTATCAATTAATTTTGTTTGAATAGTTTTTATCAAAATTGATTTTAATGCATAATTAGCAAAATGATAATAAATACTAATACAAATAAAAATGAAAAGTAATTGATGAAAATTAAAGAAAGTAAATAAAAAAATTGAAAGAAACAAATGAAATATAATAAATTTAAAACTGATTCTGCTAAACTCAAAAGCTATATAAATCTTAGCTTTTAAGAATATTGTGTTTGGAGGAAGAAAATTGATTTTAGAAAAATATCCAAACAAGGAATAATCAATTTTCAAATTGAAGTGGAATAGAAGGACTTTTGAGATTTGTAGAAACTAATCCAAACATGCACCAAATGTGAGTGAGTACTATAAGGTACAACTAAAATAATTATTTTATTTTTATGAACTTTTTTTTAAATATTTATTTTAACAAAATATTGACGGTACAATCCATTAAGCACTCATAAAAAGATACTCATAAAAAGATACCGAATAAGATTTTTAATTGGTTTGTACCATCCCTTTTAAAAAGAAATAATACCTACATGACAGGACAAGTTGACCCTTTATTTTAAAATTTGTCCAAAAACAAATTCAACTTTTCCAAAAACAAGAAAAACATAACAGAGAAATTTCAATTTCATTAAAACAAGAATTAACTTCTATGATGCAAAATAAAAACATTCAAACAGTAACGACTACCCTTACATTACAAGTACAAGTAATCCTTAAAAAACATGAGCACACAAATGTAGCTTAGATTCTGGTTAAATCATTTATTCGAAGAAGTAAAGAGTTGCTTGAGAATTGAATTGATAAGATCAGTACTTCTTGATAAATTCATAAATGTGATTGTTAACATCTTCAGCAGCTTCTTGGTTGTTGAAGTGGGACACACCTTTTTGTATAACCACTTCCTCCAAATTTGGCACATCTCTCTTGAAACCACCACTCTCAATGTATTGCTTTGTACCCATTGAAACATAAACTAAATCCAAATCACCTGTGATGAACTTCACCGGTACCTTAATTTGTGCTCCAGTCCATGCCGCTGTCAGCTCCCAGTTTCTATAAACATAATACACAGACACGTTAAGTACCGCAAAAACTGTATGAAAATGTGGATACTGATACTGTTATTCACCATTTTTCTGATAAATCGAAAAATGCAATTAGTGTCGCTGCAGCACCTATACCTACCGAAATTTACGTGACTGAAATGCGACCGCGAGCGTTATTACATAAAAATAGACTTACGAGTTGAAATTTCTGTAGTAGTTAAGGCCACCGGTGAATCCTGACTTTTCAAATTTAGAACCGTAATAATTGATATCTTCTTGTGATAGCCAAGAAGGGAGGGGCTTTGTACTTGAAGCTTCAGGGTTAGGTACCACAGTTCCTTCTTTTGGTAGGATTGGTGGTCCAGAATTCCTGCTTGTAAGCATGTTCTTGATCACCAAATCTGGACTAACTCTGGCAAATTCAGCTTCTGCTTTTCCTGGCTCCTGTCAAATGGATTTGTATTTGATTATCATATCATATTTAGTATCTACAACAAGGGTATACAAATTTTATGATATGTCCCATGAAACAATTGGTCTGCTACTTATGCAGAAACGGCTGAGACAAAACAGTATCTGAGAGATACTGAAATTGATATATTGATATCATTATTCACCGTTTTGTAAAAATAAATAAACTGTGGGTAATTTACACCACGGTATGCATCGTTGTTCGGACCGAAATCACGAAAACTTTTATCGTAATTAACACACTTCTTCTAGCAACGGTCAAAGGCACGGTCGCTACTATTGAGCAGTCAAAAGTTCAAATTACCATAAAAGTCAAAATATCTCGCGTTTAGTTAGATAGACAGATTCAAAGCCAATAATTAACAGTGAAAAAACAGAAATACGAACGAACCTGGAATCTGCAGATATAGTAATCATCCCCAAACAAAGCTCGCATGCCATCAACAGGTTTGATTTTAGGGTTTCTCGGCAAAAATGGAACACTGAGACACACATAAGCTTTGATTCTCTCAGGGCGAAACAAGCAAACATACCAACCAATGATAGCACCCCAATCATGAGCCACCAGAAACACTTGATCAGCACCGAGTAAATCGATCAGAGCAATAACATCACCAACCAAATGGAAAATCGTATAACTACTTACCGAAGCGGGAGCTTCGGTATCTCCGTATCCACGGAGATCCGGAGCCACCGCGCGGTAACCGAGAGAGCCGAGAGCCGCAATCTGGTGGCGCCATGAGTACCAGAGCTCCGGGAAGCCGTGAAGGAACAAAACAACCGGTCCTTGTTTTCCTTTCTCGGCAATATGCATCTTGATGCCATTCACTTCAACTGTTCTGTGTTCAATTCCTTCCATTATTGATCTCTTTGATGAGATTTTGCTGTGAAGTATGGTGTTTAAATATAAAGGTGGTGGCGATTTTAACGAAGAGGTGTTTGTTTAATTAACTCATGCATACACGTGGAAGGAGATTTTATGCTATCTCAACATCACTACCTAGACTAGACACTCTGCATACAAATTGATATTAAATTTTTTATTTAAGTAAAATCGTTGTCAGTAATTTATTTCTAGCGTGTTATAATAAATATATTCCATTTTTCGAGATTAGGGATCAAAAATTGACTAATGACTTGAATTTTAATAAGAAACGTGTATGTACTGTACTCCTTTTTTGATCTGAAATATATAAAAAATTCAAAATAAAGTTGAAATCTGAGAGTTGATTACTCCATTTTTAAATGAAAGTGGAAAACAGTTGTGTGATTTATTTTTTGAAATCAAAATACGTATTTTCTTAAAACGGATGTGTAATTGAACATTGGAAAAAGAATGATTGAAAAATGAAATTGTTTGTATACAGAATAAATATAGGGCGTGGGACACATGATGTTAACATGTCATTTTTTTAATTAATAAACAAACTTTTGTGATAATAACTTTTTTGTTAATAAAATGATTAATATCTATTTCCCCTTATATTTGGAAAACCTTAGATAATGACACTAGTATGCAAACACAAGCACTTAGCCACCAGGTTATTAAACTCTTTTTGATATTTTTTTGTACATGTTATTTGTTTAAGTTAAATTTTAAAACTTTCAACCCATCTTCATCTTATTAATGTAAAAACAAACCATTTTCAGAAAATAATTCTTCAATAAAAAAAAAGACTTGTTCTTAATCAACAACTCAATCTCTTCCTTTCTTCAACTAAACCCAAATTTCTTATTCCTCTCTTTCTTCTTTTTCTTCTTCTAAAGTTTAGCCATATCGATAATTCTGAATACGAGAATGGAAGAACAAAATGCTATATAAGAAGTTGCTTTTGTTGGAAAATATGAATACCATAAAGATAAAACTCAGATTTCATCAACTTCCATATTTTATATAAGATTATGAATACCATAGCGTTAAAGAACACACAAGAACGATACAAATTTCTTTGTTGAAGGAGATTCTCGATTAGAATCATTGAAGGAGAAATATTATGGTTTAGTGAATGGTACAAAAAACACACAATCCAGCATTAGCAATTTTTGAGGATGGATATGTATGAATTGAGAAGAAGGATGAGAGGAGGAATTTAACGGTGGTTAATTTTGATGGGGACAAACGTGGTCGCGATGGTCATGTTGTGTTCACGATGTTCATTGTGTCTATCGCAAAAGTGTTTACCTCCCATGAATTTGCATCTTCATGTTCTTGTTGTTGTTATTGTTTAAGGTTCCACATTCAAGTTGATGGTGATGGTGTGGTGGTGTTTATTTAAATCTTGATATTTGGTCTTGCAACCGATTAATTCAAAAAGATCAATCTCACCACTCACTAGAGGCGGTCTCGTTTAAAGTCTAACTAAAGTTCTATAAGTACTGACTCAACACAAAGATTATTAACACTTAGCAAAATTCAAATTTGAGATCTTGAGAGGAGCATACCTCAGGATCCAAGTCTTCACCACTAGGTCAACCCTTGAGGGTTGATGGTGTGGTGGTGTTAGCGTATGAGTGAGATTTGTTTTGAAATTGAGATTGTGATTGTGCTGATTTTTGGATTTGAGTAGTCATAGAAAAAGGGAAATAAATGGATTGTGGTGGTGGAAGATGAAGATGACGATTTTGGGATTTTGGAAGAGATAAGTGTTGAGAAGATGAAGATGAAAAACATTTTATCGAAGTGAATTGCTTAGCCTAGTAGTTAGGAAGTTGTACCATTGAGGTGATGAACCTAAGTTTGAATCCTCTTGGTTGTAAGTTTTGATTTTTTGATTTTATGTTTTAACATATTAGAGCTTAAATAAATAAAAAGCCAACGGTGGATTAGAAAAAATGAAAAACGAAAAAGTAAAAGGCTAACTTGATAATCCACATCATTAAAAAAAATAAAATATAAAAAAATGCTTGTCATGTCATTTTTATGGTGACCGAGTATAATAAGGAGTCAAAATTGGGGATTCATAAGTCAAAAAAGGGAATCCAAACTTTTTATATATAAGGTGTTTTTCAAATTTCAGCCATATGGTAGGGTGAAATAGCCATTAACCCTTTATTAAATTATATTTGATGGTGGTTAAAATAGATTGTTCACAACCTTCCAAATATTACTAGATACGGTGAGAAAACGGAAACCCATATCTCACTTTCGTCATCTTCTAAGTATGATGCATGTTATTTATACATTGGTTGTGGTCCTTAGTTAGAAAAATGTCAGACATGTATTATGAAGTTGTTTTCAAATTCTGTAAAAACAAGTCCTATCATGCTTTATAGAAAAATATGTGTAGTTTAATTGTTTTCAAAAGAAGTAACTAAGTTTGGTTATGTTCAAATGGATGAGATAATGTTAACAATAGCTTTGATGAAAGCATAAATAGACAATTCTGATGTAGATGTCGAACCACAACATAAAGAACCTCAAACGAATGAACATGAGTATGAAGGTGATAGAATATACTAGGAGACCAAGATAACCTGATGAAAATGTTATGGTATGAATATATAAGAAATACTGAATTATGATTCATGATATTTGTATATGAATATTTAGTTTGAATGTTTATATGATATTGATTGTAAAATTTCCCACTTACTATTTCAAGGAGATGTCTGTATTTAGATCAAATAGAGATAACCTTGGTGAATGAGGAAATTGGAGAAAACTAGGAAGAACGCGAAATGTATTTTACCTCATTTGTAGTTGCGGGGCAACGAAAAGGGTCATGAAAAGTAACAATTTTTTATCTCGGTTTTTTAAACATCGAGGGGTCTATTAATTTTTACATGGGTTCGAATCTCAACATTAAATTTTTTATTATTTACAAAACTAGCGCTTCATACATCTTGGCTTACGATAAATTTGAGAGGTAAGATAAATTGTTTTTTAATTAAAATTCGTAACATTGTTTACAAAAAAAATAAATAAAATTAATTTGTTTAGAAACTACCTTATTTACTCAGAATATTACATTGTTTATGCATAATATTAGAATAAAAATCAATTTATCTTTGAAGATCATATGTTGGATCTTCAACTCCTTAATATTTGAGCAAGATCTAATGCTTCATCTTGCAAGTATTTGTTTATGATATAAAACAAAAAAAAGGTTAGAAAAATAAATAATTTTTTGCTCAAATGAATATTTAAAAACACAAACTTTAAAACTAGATAATTTTCGGCACTTGCAATCCATCGTAGAGAACTCCTAATGAAAAAAGTTAAAGTGGAGGATTTAGATAGTTTAAAGCGCTTCATGGCATTTTTTTTATCAATTATAGATATTAGAAGGCCTTTATAATTGAAATTTTTTAAGTTTCACGCGAATCACTAATGAAAGTTTATTGAGCATTGATAATCATGAAATGGACGACAAAGATTTGTTTAAAGACGGTGATCAATATCTAAAATTATCACGTTAAGTTATCCCCTCGGTTTTATCAAAATCGAGGTGAACATGATTTTTTTTTAAATTACATTATTTACACAGAATATTGAAAACAATACTACAACAAAAGAAGAATTTTGGTGTAAGAATTTATCTAGTCCAAATTTTACACGCATCAATTTCTAGGAATTGTTTCGTCCAACCATTGAATGCATCCAATTTTTAAAGGAATTATCGGTTCAACTATTGAAAAAATAATTTTTTGCACTTACAATTCATCATAGAAAACTTTTTAAAGCTTTCTAAATACAACAACAACATCAACACCATTTTGTGATATGGATCCCAAAAGAATTATGCGTTCAAGTTTGGAGCGGCACATATATATAAGTTAGGATTATGGTAAAATTTATTTAACAAGTGTTTTTATAGTAAAATTTGATTATCTTATCCCTCGGTTATTAAGAAAACCGACGGGATATATCCTTTAGTTTACAAAAAAATTATAGTAATAATAAAAAAAAAAGGTTCTTGAGTTGTTTTTCCCCTTCATATTTTTTGAATAACGGAGATAATAAGTTGTTGAGGTAATATGTGACTTCTATTTCTAAAAAAAAAAATTTGTTGGAATATTTTAATAATTTTATAATATATTAATATCTCAATAATTATGTGGCCAAATATATTTATTTAATTATATTAGCTATTTTATCAAATAAAGTGTCTTAAATAATTATGGGATCAAATAATGTTAAAAGGCTATTTAGATTTTGAAAATTGATTAATTAATTAATTAATTAAATAATTGGGTATGGACTCAAATATGAGTGAATGTCAGGATGAATGGATCCCTTTCTTACCCAACTAAGGGTGTATGGATTCTCATTGGGTTATATGAAAAAATTCAAATAATCTATCAATTTTTGCGACACCAGATTCTTCGTGCTTCCATAATCCATAATTAGATTACATACTTTGTTCTTGATAAAACAATGTGTTTTGAACAAACTCTTGCATTGTCCTTCATCTTTGGATGCTATTAAAAATCCATGCAATACAAAATTTACCCACTCATCAGATTATTCATTTGCAAACTTAACCTCTACATATTCATTGTCCTAAACTGTAGGTCGTTCTCTTTCCTCCTCTTCCATTTCTGCCGCAACAACAATGACTCTCCTTGCTGGAAAAGCATTTGATTTGTGATTTCTTCCATTACAATGATAAGACATGTATCTAGTGGGTATAATATATGGATTATTCTGCCTCTGGACTGATTCTTTACCTAGATACACACCTGTTGAGCTGCTAGCTCTCTTGTTTCCAGGGTTGGGGTCCCTGGTTGTTGCACTCTTTTCCTTGTCACATGCTGATTCTAAGTTATTCTAAGGAAAATACCTTGTAAAAGATGATAAATTTCTAGGGGATTTCTCCATCAATTATTTCTTCAGATCAAGATTGGACGCCGCAGCCA